CGGCATGGCGATGGCAACATGGCTACTCGAGATCAGGAAAACAATAAGGTTTCAAATCTTTGACATGCGCCTTGCTCATTGCAACATTATTTAAATCTGTGAGCTCATAAACTACAGACGAAAGCGCTTTACTAATACGGAAAGGGTCCTTGAAATTTCGATGCTAACTTCGCGGCCACATTCTGAGTGGCTGACGATAAAACACGCTGTCGCTTCAAAACGAACTCACCTACTTACATAAATCTTGTCTCTTCGGTAATTTATAGTATGTCGACTGTTTTTGATATGCTAATTCAAGATTCTGGGCAACCCACTCGTATAAAGATTGTAGAATACGCATTCGCTCGGATCAATCGGCACGACTCCGCGCGGCGACCTCGTTACATGGCAACAATAGCGCAAAGAGTGTACCGGTTCTGGTTCGCTCCTAAATTCAGGAATGCCGGCGACATTCCCAGAGAAGAATGGTGCGCAAAACGAAAATCTCTTAAGTGTATGTCCCATTCGCGGTGATCCCGATTGAGGAACGCGATAATCATTGTCTTTAAAGCCAGCGGCACACGATGCTCTTTTTTCTGCTGATTTGCTAGTTGAATTCGTGTGCTTGCTGCTGTGTTAGCAGCGATGTTGGCTATCTTGCTGGCTTGGCTTCACACGATGCGTTTTCATCCTACTAATTACTGAACGCTCACTCAATTGTTGAGTGTGGTTGAGTGCAGCCATGGAGCAAATTATTGCACATCGTCGTAGAAATATAATTATATTATTTTTACTTATTGAAAATTTATGACGGAATCAACATCGCCGACGTTTGTGGAGTCGACAGTGGCTGCAACGCCGAGATATACGTGACAGTGTTCTTACAATGTTATTTACAGAATTTGGGTAAGTATAAACCTTCGAATACAAATTAAAATTTTTTGTGACATTTTCTTTTATTGTTTAATATGTTTTACTTATATTTCTTGTTTGTAGACCTGAAGATCCAAGTTCTTTTAAAAATTATACTCGAAGAAGAAGTTATGGATGAATTATTACTTCTCATTAATTCATATATTGAAAAGAAAGATACCGTAATAAGGAAAGCAATTTCTTTTCGAATGAGACTGAGTGCAACCATCCGATATTTAGCAACTGATAACTCATTTCAAGATCTCGCATATTCCACAAGAATTGTTTCAAATACTCTGTTGCAGATTATACCAGAAACATTGCAAGCTATCATTACAGTACTAGAAAAAAATGTAATGTCATTTCCATTTAAGCCTGAAGATTGGGAAATTGTGATTGACAAATTTCAAACCATGTGGCAGTTCCTTCATTAGATAGGAAGCATATTCTTTTTCATCCTCCACGCTGTGATGGATCTAAATTTCGAAACTATAAGAGAAAGAATAGTATCATTCTTTTAGGATTAATAGATGCAGAATATAAATTTATTTTTGTAGATATTGGTAAAAATGGTCGTACTCATGATTCTATAGTATTACGTGAATGTCCATTAGGAATCAAAATAAAGGAAAATGCTCTTAATTTGCCAGAACCAAGAATTTTGCCTGGTTTTAATTTAAAAATGCTATACGTATTTATAGGAGATGATGCTTTTTCTTTACATGTAAATTTAATGAAACCGTATCCAAAACGTGGTTTGACACAAAACAAACGTATATTCAATTATAGGTTGAGTAGGGCACGAAGAACTGCTGAAAATGCATTCGGTATTCTTGCTAATAGATTCAGAATTCTTTTAAATCCCATATCACTTACTGTAGAAAAAGCTTGCTCAAGAAAAGTCATTAGCTATCTCTGATAGCTGATGATTTTTCTTGAGGGTGATGTTCAGTCTTCGATCAGGCGATGCAAGTGTCGATGCCGAAAATAAGCAGCCAATTATCGCTAGGTTATTTCGCAGGTTTCGCTGTGACGATGAGCACAAGCGGAAGGACGTACGGGATAGGAAGGTGACGTGTATGCTCAATAAGCAGGGAACTTCCAGAATTAATCAAAAGCCATAATATATTTTAGAAAAATAAATACAGAAAGAATGTTGATTATCGGGACTAGATTTGTGTCTCGCGCGTAACCGTGTGGGTGCGTCAAGCGCATCTACTTCCGCGCGCAGGCGCGCAAACGCTTGGGCCGCTCATGGCGCCTTTCTCAGGCCCCGGCTCCTCCTCGTCGTCCGGGCGATGCGGATGCGCGGTCTAGCGTGGTCCGGCGGCAGGCTCTCGGTTTGTGTAGCAATCTCCGAGTAGAAACGGCGAGAGTCGCGTCGCGATGACCAGTTTGTGGATGTGGCCGAGCTCGATGGCGCGGAAGCGTTACGACCTTTCCCGCGTATGGTTGAACTCCAGGGAGCGACCAAGAGTGGGTGGCCGCTCGGGCGTTGTCGGCTCCTCCTGCGAAGTCGACGGCCTCGGCGGGCTGTCCCGGGGAGGAAGCTGACCCGAAAACGTCTAAAAGCTGCCGCTTGAACCGGCGAGAAGAGCGCCTGGTTCGTTATCCGGGAAGCCGTTCTTCTGCGTCTGCTCATGCTGGAGGAGGCACGTATTCAGGCGGCGGTGTTGATGGCCGCGAGGTATGCGGCGACGGAAGTCGCGGTGAGAGCGACTGTCGGGCGGCAGGCAGCGTCGGTCGTCCTGGCGGAGTAGGAGGATCGTCGCGACTGGTCTCTAGAGAAGACGCACGTCTGCGGAGGTCCGCATGCTGCACGGCATCTTCTTGAGGTAGTTGAGATCGGCGCAAAAGGGCCGTGCGGAGGTCGCGACCCTAATCAAATCGCTCGAACACGAGCGGATTGTGCGGCGTCTATAGCCGCGAGAGGTTTTCCCAGATGTGGTGTCTGCGGCGTTCACGGCTGCGTAGGAAGGTCGCGGCGTTCACGGTCGCGGAGAAAGGATCGCCCGGAGTTGGTTGGATTGGGCGGCTTTAACGGCCGCCAGAGAGATGCGTCCGGAGACGGACGGATTGGACGGCTTTCACGGCCGCCAGAGAGATGCGTCCGGAGACGGACGGATTGGACGGCTTTCACGGCCGCCAGAGAGATGCGCTCGGAAACGGACGGATTGTCGCGACGTAGGGGGATACGGCCGAAGATCGGTCGGTCTTCCCGGCGTTAACTGCCGTGTGTTTTGAGCACTGAGGCCAAAGCTAGCCTCCAGGGTTCCAAAGGGCGCAGTACAACTTTTAGCCTTTAACAGGCTATAGGCGATTGAGGCGAAGAGCGTGCTAAGTGCCGCTCTTATATATGCCGCCCAATGGGGCACTTTGAACGTGAGAAAATGATTTCACGACTCGCTATCTAGTGGCGGGCGCGCGAACCACTGTGCTACGCGAGACTGCGCGCGACGGTGTGTTGTGGTGCGGTCGAATGGCAGTGACCGCCACAACATAAACACATATAAACATAAATTTTTCTTAAATATAGGTAAATCGTATATTTTTATCTAAAATCTTTCGATTTGTTATAAAAAATTGATTTGAAACGTTACAGGAATAATGATAAAATACATTTTAAACAGCTGCGGCAAAAAAACTATTTTTAAGCTTTGTACCTAAAGAAATTGATCAGTAAGTCAAGAACTATAACATGCTAAAATTTCAATCAATTTCACAGAAAATCAAAAACATCTGATTTTGTGCGGTATCCTTTGTGATAGAAAATAACAAATAATCATTGGAATATCATAAATTAGTAAAGAATCATGAGTTTTAATACTTATTTATAAACAAGACAATTTATATTTAAATAAGAAATTCTAGTAACTGATGTAAAGAAAATGTAAATGTCTTATTTAACCCTTAACCGGGCGCGCCTCCGAATGTTAGTGGGCGCGCGTGGCATTAAGTGCCTCATAAATTTATTATTGGGAATTATAATAATTGGATAATCGTTATAAAAACAAGTAAAATATATTGATAATCAAATATAATATTAAAATTTAACTATAATTTAAATTTTGTGTCTACTTTCTTATAAAAATAAAAGTTTGATTAAATGTACGTAGAAAATTAAAAATAAGATAATTAATCCCACACGGCGGGACTGATAGGTATGGATTGTAATCGCTGCCGACATTATGGAGCCTTTTCCATATAGTAAGTCGGGATTCGCGTATGTACTAGTCGTGCAGGATTTATTCATCAAGTGGGTGAACTGTTGCGCGCTTCGCGTCGCTAACGGGACAAAAATAAAAGAGACACTGAAAGATCTGATTCTCGCACGCTGGAGGTATGCCATGATTTTTATTAACGGCCAATAGTATGGAATTCGTCAATCGAACTCTCCAAAAGTTCGCGAGGGAGCATAACATCACGCATACTATCGTACCGCCATATCATCCGCAAGCGAATCCTGTAGAGCGAGTAAATCGAGTCTTAAGCCAGCGGCACACGATGTTTTTTTTCCTGCTGAAATTTTTGCTTGTTCCTTTGTTGGCAATTTTGCTGGTTGTTATAATGAAAATTGTGTAGCCTGCTGGCCACGCTGTTGATTGGTCTGCTGGATTTTCGTGATTGATCTGGTGCTATTTTTCTTGCTTGATTCTGTGTTACCTCATAGTGAGAGCCAATCAGAATATAAGGCTGATTTGTGGGGGCCGTAACCTAACTTTTATGCCGGAACCGATAAAGTTGAACGATTACAATACTTTTGTTTATAGAGATTCTATAAATAAAAGCATTGTAATAATGTTCAACTTTATCGATTCACATAAATTAACGATCTCCATAAATCAGATTAGGATAGTGTGATCAAAGTGCTCTTCATATCAAGTGTTCTGTCTTTTGTCACTCTACTAAAGTGGAATATGACGTCTTGCAAAGAAAATGAAAAAAAAAAAATAGTCAAAGGAAGCTATTTTATCTCTAATAGAGATCCTACAAAGAAGAACTATGTTTATATGCGACAAACACACCTAATTATCACAATAAACATGTTCGAAATGAGGCATTAAAGAGAGTATGTGCCACTGTCTCAATATTTAGATCTGACACTATAGAAAATGCACTACAAAGTTTCACTACTTACGAACTCAATTTAATATCGAAAATGCAAAAGTGAAATCGTCAATAAAATCTGGAACTGGTACTAACGATGTAAGTATAAAAATCTAATCTATTTCTAACCTGTCTAATTTATCTTACATCAATTCTTATAATTTTTTTTGGACAAATGAGAGTTAAGCATTACAATTGTTATGCACAAATTAGTCACAAACTGAATGTGATGTATTAAAATAAATTACTAATAAAAATATGTTCAAACATTTCGATTTTTTTTTGGAAACTACTCAATGGAAAATTGCGTATATACATTCATAGAAATTTCAGTGATGAGGAAAAAGAGTCAAAACATTCGAATATTTTTGTTTGTAATTTATTCTAATAATAATACTAATATTTGCTAATTTGTGCGCATTATTTACAGCACTTGATTCTTATTTATTTTTGTTTTATTATTTAACCTTTTTGAGAACTCTTTAATTAATGGCTTAATATTTACTGTTTTATTTTCACCAAAGCTTATTTTTTAAAATATTTATAGATGTACAAACCGAATCTCTGGTACTTTGATCATTTAAAATATTTAGAAATTTACTTTATGCCTCGGAAAAGTCGAAATTTTATAGAGAAAAATTTTACAGAAAAACGATTGACTTTAAATGAGGTAAAATGTGACTTTTATACTAAAAACTAAATAATCAATGTAAATAACTATAAATTATTTTTATTATAATTTTGTATTTTATAAATTATTTATTTTTATTGTCTGTAAACTGTTAGAATTTTATTGCTTCTTAATAACAGTAATTATTTATTTTTTACATTGTTTATATTTTTGTACTATAGAATGAAGAATTATTTGAGACTGAAGAATGTTCTGAAATGAATGAGGAATGGTTGGAAGGAGAATGTTAGAAAATACGTATCCAACGGAGAATTCTAACCCAATTGATAAATCCACAACCGAATTAACTTCAATTTTTACTAAATCATCAGAAGTTATAGCTACATCAGTCAATGATCAGTTTTCATCAATTACCAGTTTCCATTCAAATACATTTGTAACTCCTAATAGAACATTTTTTCCTATAAATAATCCTCGTCCACCTCTTTCAATTAATCCAACAAATTCTACCACATCTTCATCAGGAATCAGCAGTCGCACACCTTGCCCATCTCCCATACCCAAAACCACAAAGAAACGCAAATTAAATACTGGCGGCGATTATACTGGAGCTATTAAGGCATTAACAGATTAAATAAAACAACTAGTTATAAAGTCAACAAATGAAACTAATAATATTTTAAATGCCTCAGATCCTGTTGATACCTATATGATATTTGTAGGATCAATATTAAAACGTTTCAAAAATGAAAGATTTAAATTTCAAATAATGAATAAATTAGTTCAAATGATCATAAGTGCCAGCACTGAAGATCTAGAAGAAGAATATTTTAACTGATAGAACTGAAAGACTGATAAACTAAGTCTAAGTATAGTATAGATAGTCTAAGATAGACTTGAAATTATGACTGTATTTTTTCTTTTTTTTCTTATTTTTTTATATATATGAAAAAATTTTACTTAATATTCTTTATTCTTTTTTTTATTTTTAAAAGTTATAAAGTAAAACAATTTTAGTTTATTAGTTTCAATGTTTCATTTTTTTATTACTGAATAAAATTAAAAGAAAATGCTCTTAATTTGCCACAATCAAGCATTCTGCTTTTTTTAATTTCAAAATATATAATTATCAGAAATAATGCTTTTTCTTTATGTGCAAATTTATTAAAATTATAGTTATATTCAGAACATGGTTTAACACGAAACAGATGTATATTTAAGTATAGATTGAGTAAGGCACAAAGAATTACTGAAAATGTATTTGGTATTTTTGCTAATAGATTCAGAATTGTTTTATATCCCATATATATGTATATATATATATATATATATATATATATATATATATATATATATATAT